CAGTCAGGGTTAAGTGACTTGTCCAAGGTCACACAGTAAGTGTCAAGTGTCTGAGGTTGGATTTGAACTCAGGTCCTCCTGACTCCAAGGCCAGAGCTCTATCCACTGTGCCACCTAGCTGCCCCTGATAATTCTTGCATTATCTCTCCTTAACCATTTTTCCAGGTCAGTTGTTTTTGATAGAAGATACCTATAATTTTCTTCTATTTTAAAAATCTTTCGATTTTATGTTAGTATTTCTTGTCTACTATATCATTTGCATTTCTTTCAAGTACTCTTGTAGTTCTTATGGCCAAGCCATTTTATTCTAAACCTCAGCTTGTGGTTATTCTATAGTAGTTCTCTTTGGGTTTTCCTCTTGGATGATTTTTTATCCATAATATTTTTAAAAATAGTATTCAGTGTCTTCTTTTGTTTTCTTTTTAGCCTTAGCTCTTGATTTGGGATTTAGTAATAGGGCCAGGCACTGCTTCCTCCAACCCTCTTAGATTGAGTTATCAGGCCCTGCAATTCTGACCTTACTTTCCTGAGTTCTTGCTTCTGGTTTCCATCTCCCATGGTGTATCTGAATTCAGAGGCCTGGCAGGCTTGTATGTCCTTGGCACACCAGAGTTTGGCTATTGGCTGTCCTTGATCAGGGTACTGGGTGGTCTTTAGTTCCCCTTGATCAGGACACTAGGTGGTCTAGCCTTTCTGAATTCTTTCTGATCAGGGATTTGGATAGTCTTTTGTTTCCCCTAGGAGACTTATACAAGTCATTGGATGGGTGGTCTTTTGTCTTTCCTGGGTCTTCCTTGATGAGGGGGCAGTTTACTTGATCAGTGATGGGTGGTCTTCTGTTTCCCCTTTGGATTTCCCCATTCAGGAATCTGCTGCTTCCATTCTCACCTCACACCATTTTCCCCTGTCAGGGTGCTGTGTGGAATGGCAAAGATGGATTTTCTGTGAATCATTTTCCCTTCAATATTTTTCTCTCCTTAGTGTATTGCGCAGGAGAATCTTTACTGTGGTCCCTTCAGAAGGGTTTTGTTTAGTACCCTCAAGCTGATGGGTTCATCAGTTTCAGGCTGCAGAGAGCACCTTGCTTCAGAGTGATTTCCTCAAACTTCATGCCTAGGAGACCCTCCTGGGTCTTCATGGTTGTCCTTACTATCTGTAGTAGGAATCTGACTTTTTTCTGAAGGCTTCTTCACATAGGAAGGACTGGATCTATTTGTCTGTCAAGTTCATACTTTTTAAATACGGCAGTAGGGTGGCTTAGTGGTGTAGTAGATAGAGTACTGGGCCTGGAGTCAGGAAGACTCATCTCCCTGAGTTCAAATCCAGCTTCAGACACTTATTAGCTGTGTGACCCTGGACAAGTCACTTAACCCTGTTTGCCTCAGTTTCCTCATCTGTAAAATGAGCTGGTGGAGGAAATGGCAAACCACTCCAGTATCTTTGCCAAATGGGGTCATGAAGAGTCAGACATGACTGAAAAACAAAAACTGAAATGTCAACATACTGTTTTTCGAGGCCAGAACTTGACAGCCCCTGGTGACTCTTGGCAAATGTTCATACCAGTGATACTTGTTTTGCTCCAGCTTTTTGTCAAGCACCCTGTGTGGCATCAAGGGCTTAAGGGAACAAATACAGCTGGTAGAGGGGCTAGGGGATGGAGGGATGGGAAAGAGATGAGTGTACACAGCTCAGCCTATCCCCTCAGGGTATATAGGATGAGATTCTTTGTCAGTACTCTGTGGTTCATAGTCACTAGGTATTGGTGACATTGGAAACTTGCAGCAGTAGTTCTAGGTAAGGGATCCTGTGGTCTGGCTGAGAGGTTTCTGCTCTGTCTCCTTGGGTGCTATAATAGGAAGTACTATTGGTTAGTCTTGAGTCAGGACTAGGTGTAAGGGATGGGGGTTTACAATACATATGCCCACATCACTGGTATTGGTGGTCTGCTTCTGTAGTATTTGGATATAACTAATGTTTTATCTCCTTCGACAGGTGTCCACACAGCTCCATTGTCACCAATTTGTACAGCTTATTGTAGTGTAACCAGCTTTGGAATATGAGGACCTGGGTTCAAATCCTAGATTCAGTGTTACTAGCCTTTGTGACCTTGGGCAAAACCTCTCTGGGATTAGTTTTCCTAATTTATAGCATGAGAAAATTGGACTAGATAATCCCTTCTTGATGTAATGTTCTTTGTTTTGTGTCTGTGACATCTCTAGGAAGTTTCTGTTATATGGGATTCATATTCCCTGCCTAGAATTACTGGTCCTTAGCTGCTGCCCTACAGGGCTGCTCAGACCCCGGATAATCCCATTACAGAGCTTGGAGAGCCTTGTGTCCAGGACTTAGACCTTGTGTCACTCGTATCAGTGTTACAGCTTTACTTGTGTATTTGTCCTGGTTTGAAAGCCAGTCTTTATACCATCTCAGTGAGCAAAATCAGGAAATTCTTGGACTAGAAAGGATTTAACAAGTTATCTGCCTCCACGTATATTCTACCCTATACAAATGAGACTCATTTCTAATTTATTTTTTTAAGACCTTGAGATGGGCAAATTTCATAGCACCCCTTGACCACCTTTCATTGTCTTATCAGCCTCATCTGCTCATTTTTTCCTTTTTCTCTAAACCTCACCTCCTGCTTGGGACCTAAATACCCATTCTTTTTTGGTCTTTTCTTAGTAGAGATGAAGAACTGCTAGACAGCAGGGAGGCTTGCATTATCCCCTAGTGTCATCCTCTGGTCAGATGAAGCTCAGCAGTAGGGCCGTTGAGAAGGAATAAATGAAGGGTACCCTTGGAGGTCCAGACCAAACTAGCCCCCATCCAGGAAAATATATAAACCCAAATTACATCATTTTGCTAGTGACTCTTCAGCCTGCTTTGAAAAGAAAACTTTTTGATAATATTCCAGGTGAAGTTTTATGACTGTACTGGAGCCGTTTCTAACTCACCCTTTAGGCTTTGGAAGTTTCATCAAACCAGCCTTGTGGGTGGTAATCAAATGCAGGTGGATTCCATCTGCCCAGAGTCTTTCCTCCTACCTAATCAAGTGAGGGCTGGCCTGCCCATGATGCAGCATCCAGAGAAAACATTCCAGCCTGCAGGCATATGGTGCACTGTCTTCTCCCCTTAACCCTTCTCCCCCACACACACACAATATAGTCACACATACCTCTCCCTTAAGAATGATTATGCCTTATTATCCCATTGCATCCAAGTGCTCACATCGTTGTGCAATCTGAGGGGAGTGTGTTTCTTCGAGTTTGTTTCCTGAGTCTTTGCAGTTAAAAATCACGTATTTTTCTTGGCCAGAGATTAAAGGATTAGAGTTAATGTTCTAATACATATTACAAAACTGCTTCTAATTAGTGGTTTCTTGAGGGCACCCCCTTAACTCTAGTGACCTCTCTCCTCTTGCACAAATTCTGGTGTAAAATCCATCCATCTGGTGTAAAATCCATCCTGTAGTTCTCTGTATTTCATTCCTTCTTTCTTCATAAGCCTCCTTCAAGTATGGCTAAATATTCTTTTGTGGTGTCCTTTTTAGTTGCAAGTGTTTCAGATCTTCTCATTTGAGATGTCCATCATAGACATCGTAGCACTAATGCTGCAATATTGAATAATAAGGTCAGAGACACCGCAGTACCATTCACCTGCCCCTTATATTTGCTCAGTGTCTCAAACCCCAGGTGTGTGCTTTCAAAATAGACTTGCTTTTCCAAATTGTTAGATATTTGAGGGAAAACCTTACCAATGAAAAGCTCTTCTAAATGTGGTAAATTTTGGTAGTTGGGTGGATTGCCTTTTCAGAGTAGGTGGGTTTTTTTGGCCGTTTACACCTAGCAGTGTCTGTCCTTTAGTGTTGGCCTACCAGTTCTTGAAATTTCCTTTCCTTCATTTAAAGATGGACAGGACTTGATGGTGCTCCCATTTAACTAAGTTACACACAGAGCTGGAGTGAACAGAGCCTAGAAAACTTTTCCTATCTTCAGGACTTTCAGCCTTTTGAGGTATTGATGACAGAGAACAAAATGCTGAATTGTACGGTTTTCAGGATTTGGTGTTGGACATATCATCTCCCTGTCAGAATTCTCATCTCTGATTCCAGATTCCAGAAGCTTAGCCAACAAGGGATTGTTGGCTGTCATTTTAGTTTGTGCTTTATATTTGTATGTTAAGAAGTTTACATGTGTATAATCACCATGCATCATGTTTGTACAAGATATAATTGCTGAAAATTATATCATGAACACATTTTAACCCATCTCATAGCTGGCGGACTGAATATCTCTCTCAAATACTTGTCTTTGGAAGCTGTCTTTGCCCCAAGCACAGTCTGATGCACAGAGCTGTTCAGACCAGTTTCTTTTCTGTATTGTACATCATTCCTGCTGTCAACTAATGTCCAGTTGCAGGACTAGTTTGCTGGCAGATTTTTTTTCTATTCTTTATCACTCTTTGTAGCCTATAAGAGAGGGAAGAAATTAGAGCAAATTCTGTGTCCTTCAGTCACAGTGACCGAGGAATATCATGAGCCTGCCAAGGATTGTGCTTAGTCTGTTCCTATGTAGTACCTTATGGATCTCTGTAGGAATCACCAGATATTGAAGGTCAAAACCAACAGCCAACCACCAATACTCTGCACCATTGTTTGAATGCTTCCTGTGTGTAGAGTTCTGTACTAGGCACTGTTGGGGATAGGTGGTAGAGTATGGCTATAAAAAAAGAAAAGACAGTCACTGATTAGAAGAGTTTTAGTCCATCGGGGAAATAACAGATATGTGAACATGTAGAAAATTATTTAATAAACTAAGTAAATTAAGTAACCAAGTAGCTTGGGGAGTATGTTAAAAAAAGGAGATGAGAATATAGTGGGGTGAATTGGGAAAATTTCTAGGGATGGAAGGTTATATTAAGAGTAAAAGATATTTTAGTCATAAGACATTGGCATAACTAATGCTGGCTAATTTAAAAACAATTTGCTTTTCTTCTTCTAGGTTTACAGGAACAGATGGACCCAGTGGCTTTGGCTTCGAGTTGACATTTCGACTAAAGAGAGAAACAGGAGAGTCAGCTCCACCCACATGGCCAGCAGAGTTAATGCAAGGCTTGGCCAGATATGTATTCCAGTCAGGTATGAGACCATAGGCAGCTGGCATCTTGTTTTCCCTTAGGCTAAGCGCCCAGTTTATCTTGGAAATGTACATATATATTGTGATGTCTGTTTAGTTCCATATTCCTGTTCATTAACTTAGTTTGGAGGATTATATCCACCCCTTCTATTTCTTGACATTCCTAGGACAGGGCTTCACTGGGGCCCTAGAAAAAAAGGTTTTATAATGTGACCAACTTCATTGTTCCAAGCTGCCCGGGATCCATGTTTGCAGCCTGCCAACCCGGCTTTAGATTTGTGATAGGCTGAAAGATAAATTGATACAAAGCTAAGCAGTTTTCTCTTATCTTCTCCATTCCTGTGGTTAAGAGTTTTCTTTTGCCGTCCCTGTTTGTTGGGGTTGCAATCATAGGTTGTAGCCTTGACTTCTGTCTCAGGCAAGGCTTGAAGGATTTGATAGGAGGGAAGGGATTATTTGGTAAGCAATAGGGAACCATGAGATATCATTTTTGATCTGTTAAAATGATATCTTTTCTAAGACTTGTTTCCATACTTCATGAAAGGGATAAAATAGAAATAGATTGGGCCTTAAACAGCCCTCGACATTGTATTTTATGCAGTTGATTCACGTATTCATAGCTTGTGGGTTAGCTTGCAGGAGGGCAGGTAACTGATCAGGCAAGAGAGACGTACCAGGAGCCCTGTTCTTTTTTAAAAATATATTTTGATGCCTTTTGTTTTTATTTGCATCATTGTCATCTCTTGGAAAAGACACCCTCCCCCATATCGAACCCTGCTTTATAACAAGAAAAATAGTTAAGCAAAAGCCTCAGGTACTGTGTCCACATTTGACAATTCATATAACTTTCTCACCTGTCTTTCTGGTTGGAAGTATGCTTCATTTGCTGTCCTTTGGGACCATTGTTGCTTTCTCAATTCCTTAAGAGTTCAGCTTCCTTTTAATGACCTCTTAAAACACATTTTCTTTTTAATTATGAAGTTAACTTTCATCAGCAAACTTAAATATTTCAGTCTATGAAGAACAAAAAACTATTGTACATGAAACCATGAAATTCTATTAAATGTACTTTCAGAGCTTATATTTAACATGATGTTAACAAAATTATTCCATGTTCATTTCTGAAGTTTTTTTGTTTTCTTCAGTGTATTTTTTGTTTTATTGATGTTCTCCTTTTTTTCCCCCATCTTATTACCCACTAGCTTACTCTACCTTCCAGTAGAAGTTCTCCCATTTAAAAAATAATGTAACTTGACACTAGCTGTGTGACCCTAGGCAAGTCACTTAACCCCAACTGTCTAAAAATAATAATAATAATAATAATAATAATAATAATAATAACATAGTCAAGCAAAACAATTCATTATATCCTCAATGGCTAACAAATATATGTCTCATTCTGTATCGCTAGTCTATCACCTCTCTGCCAAGAAGAGGGAAACATGTAAATTGTTCTGTTGGTTTTGCTCATTTTTACTTTGCATTAATTCATTGAATAGCTAACCAGGTTCTCTTTATCCACCATATTCATCATTTTTTACAGTATTTTTCATATTTTAAAAAATATTTTTACCAATATTCCAATTCCACAATTTGTTCTCCATTCTGCATTTGGTGGACATCTACCCTATTTTGTTCCTGAACAAAAACTGCTTCTATAAATATTTTTGTGCATATTGGTCCCTTCCTTCTTTCTTTGATCTTTTTTGGAATATATGCCAATAGTGGTATTTCTAGGTCAAAGGGTATATACATAGTTTAGTGATTTGGGAAGTTATAGTTCCATATTGCTTTCTAGAATGGTCGGATGAATTCATAGCTCCACCAAAGGATCTAATCCAAACTTCTTTGGGACTCTGGGCTTCTGATTGGTGAGCATTCTCCATACGTAGCTGAAATCCAGCATGCCCTACCTTCTTGTACCTCACCTCTCCTTCTTGCTTTCTTGTACTAACTCTGAAATTAGCAATAAAATCAACACCACCAAAAACACTATCTACTATTCCTCTGTATCTTTTGTTTTTCCCTACTACACTGTAAGGTCCTCAGTGGCAGGGATTGTTTTGATTGCCTATATTTATATTTCCAGAACTTAGCATCGTGTCAGGTTCAAAGGAAGCTCTTAATACAAGCTTCCATTTCATTCCCACCCCCTTATTTTACAGATGAGGAAACTGCAGATTGTACAAGAGCAGCTGAATTGTTATATTTTATCCCCTGGGCCATCTCGCATTCTAGGCGAAGTGATGCTTCAATTTACACTATACTCCAAAAACCTCAACAGCAGCCCTCCATAATAATCCAGTTGGTCTTGGTCCCATCCTGAGAGTTAGTTATGTTTAATGTATAATTACAAAGCAGTGAGACTGATTCCATGAGCCTCATAGGAAAATCAAATTCATTACTATATAAAGTCACATCTGGCAGACTGCTGGTAAATGGTAGAATGCAGAGTAGTAGACAGTAATTTCTTAAAGTATCCAGAGCCCAGCCTTTGATTAGGGGGTGACAGTGATCCAAAGTAAGAAGGGAAACTGACTTATTAAACTTGCTGGACTCTCTGTGATTTCTTTAGCTCTGTTCCCTTTGGTCTTCATTAGGCTCCCTCATTAACTGTGCTAAGAGTATTCTTCCTTTGCCCTGGCCTACCAGTTTCCTTCATGGCTAAGCAGTTTGTATCTTTCACCAAATAATTTGTTGAAAAATACTTTTTTTTTTTTTAGCTAGGCAGTGGGGTTAAGTGACTTGCCCAAAGTCACACAGCTAGTAAGTATCAGGTGTCTGAAGTCAAATTTGAACCCGGGTCCTTCTGACTCCAAGGCTGGTGCTCTATCCACTGCGCCACCTAGCTGCCCCCTAAAATAGACATTTCTAATGTGGGGTACAGGGAAAAGCATTGGACCAGGAGTGAGAAGATTTGGCGAATCCTAATTCTGTCACTAACTTGTGTGATTTTAGGCAAGTCACTAAGCATCTCTGATTCTATTTCATCTATAAAAATGGATGTCATGAATATTTTAGTGAATATGAGAGTCTTCCATTGGCTTTTACAATCTTTGGAATGCATGTTCAGCAGTGGAGTCATTGGGTCAAACAGTATGGGCACTTTATTTTTCTTTTTAACTTTTTTTCAAGTCTCATGCATTTATTGTCCCTTTTCTCCCACCATTGAAAAAAGAGTAAAAGCAAAATCCTTGTAACAAATATGCAAGGTCAGGCAAAACAAATGCTTGCATTGGCCATATCCAAAAATGTTTATCTCATCTTGCATGCGTCTATCACTTCTCTGTCAGGAGGTGGATGGGATGTTTTATCATTGGTCCTCTGGAATCTTGGTCAGTCACTTGATCAGAGTTCTTAAGTCTTTTAAAATTATTTTTCTTAACAATGTTGTTATTATGTAGATTGTTCTGGTTACTTCACTCTGTATCACTTCAGATAAGTTTTCCCAGGTTTCCCTGAAAACTCTCCTTTTTATTATTTCTTGTTGACCAGAAATATTCTGTTACATTCAAAAACCACAGTTTGCTCAACAATTCCTGAATTGATGGACACATCTTTCTTAGCTTCCAGTTTCTTGCCATTACAAAAAGAACTATTATAAATATTTTTGTACATATGGGTCTTTTCCCTCTTTCCTTGGTGTGTAAGTCTAATAATTATTTATGGTGGGATCAGAGGGTGTAGTGACTTTTTAAACATACTTCCAAATTACTTTCCAGAATAGCTGGATCACTTTACAACTCCACCAACTATGCATAATGTGCCTGTTTTCCTGAAGCCTTTGGGCTTCATTTGTAATTTTTGTAATTATTCTTTTCTGTTATCTATGCCAGTTTGATGATTGTGAAGTAGGACCTCAGAATTGTTTTAATTTTAATTTCTCTAATGATTAGTAAGTTGGAGCATTTTTTCATATGGCTGTTGTTAGACTGTATTCCTTTTGAAAACCTCCTATTCAGATCCTTTGATCAATTGGGGAATGTGCTTAATTCTTACAAATTTGAATCAGTCCTTTATACATTGTGGAAATTATAATTTTATCAGAGAAACTTGCCTCATTGTTTTTCCGGTTAACTGTTTCTGTCTAATTTTAATATCTTTGGTTTTTTTTGTACAAAAATTGTCCTTTTTGTCTTCTGTAAGTCACTGTCTTGTTTGGTTATTCACAGGGTCTTCCTCTACCTGTAGATCCAAAGAGTAACTTCTTACTTGGTCCTTTGATTTTTTTTAATGTGACCTTTTATGTTTAAGTCATGTATCCATTTGGTATGAGGTATTAGTCTAAGCCTAATTTCTGCCCTACTGATTTCTAATTTTCCTAGTAGTTTTTAGTATATAGTGAGATCCTACCTTAGTAATTGTGGTCTTTGGGTTTATCAGACTCTAACCTATTTTTTTTCTTTTGTATGTTGTATACCTAATTTAGTCAACTGATTAGCCTCTTTATTTTTTAGCTATTAGCAAAAACATTTTGATACTGCTTTGTAGTACAGTTTGAGATCTAGTACTGTTAAGCTCTTTTTCTTTCCACCTTCCATTCCATTTTTTTTTATCATTCCCTTTGAGATTCTTGCCTTTTTGTTCTTCCAAATGAATTTCATTTTTTTCAAAGTCTATAAAATGATTCTTTGGTATTTTGATATGGCACTAAACAAGTAAATTTAGGTTGTATTGTCATATTTATTATGTTGGTTTGGTCTACTGATAAAACAATATTCTTCCAATTATTTAGGTCTGTCTTTACTTCTGTAAAGAGTATTTTGTTGTATTCATAGAATTCCTCTGTATGTGTGTCGTAGTAGGAAGACAAAGTATTTTTTATATTCTGTAGTTATTTAAAGTGGAATTTGTCTTTCCACCTCTTTCATTTTGTATTGAATTTTGTTAGTCATATACAGAAATGCTGGTTATTTATTTTATATCCTTGTAACTTTGCTGAAATTGTTTCCATTTTTGTTTTTTAGTTTACTTTCTAAGATTTTCTAAGTAAAACATCGTA